TCCTAATAGATTACAAGGCACAAATTCTTCAACATAAAAAGTGATAAAATTATAGCTACTGTCCCCACAGTCGATACATATACCGGTAGTTTATGTATTCGGGATAGTAGTGCTGCGCTCTGTCTTTACACGTATGTAAACATTGCTGTACATACTTTGAACAGGTGCTCAATGAAATTTTTAACACACAGTATTTCATGTATTCGATTTTTCTTGTTCTGAATATTTTTCATGCAATGGTTATCATTACCATTGTATTTCTTTATTCAAGATTTTACTAGAATTTATGCAAAAGTATATTCCTAGACTATTTATTCCTTGTATTTGCCATTACATGTATTTAATCCTTGTTTAGATAGAGTTTAAAAATATAAAGTTATGTGGAAATATCTTGTGTGTTTAATGAACTACTTCACTCCAAGAAAGTAAAACCTCAGAATTTTTTGTTTTGTTTTAGTTAAAGGCAATGTGGATGAATTCAAGTCTGTTTAGATAATTGACATTGGTATTAAGTCTTGGTAGGAACAATGTGATGTGATTTAATATATAAACACAAGCATTTGTTTGTGAAATAATGAAAACATTAGTGCACCCTGGATTTACTTTTGTTTACAGGTAATTTGTTGAAGCATACATGCCTTTTCATTGATTGGATTTGAAATAGACAATAAACAATTCTTTTTATTTTTTGATATCCAAAATATATAAATTTGCCATATGCCCCCCCCCCCCCAAAAACGATTTGATTTTGGTCAGTTTCAATGATGCACTTGCAGCTTTTTGATTTAAAAAAACATAACTTCCTTCATGCTATATTAGATTGTATGGAATAATGTCTTCAATTACAACCGTATAATAATTGGCATATTTTTCCCTCAACCGTATTAATTGACTAGGGTCGGAAGTGTTCGAGATTTCGAGCAGCTGATTTCGTTAGAGCGACGCCAGCGATAGCTTGGAGCGAGGGAAGATAACGTCAATGTCATACTCGTATTGGACTTCACTTTCGGATTCAATACTGATTTCACCGCTAAAGTTCATACTTATATTTTTAAAGATGCACTTCAAACATTCAAAATGGTATTTGATACCGTTTCATTTGATTTAGATAAAAACGTGCTTCATAGCAGAAGTACTGTTTTACTTTCAGTCTCCCGAATCCGAATACTGTAGGATAGTATGAAACTAAGCTAACTCAAATAATTAAAATTTGTAATGTTTTTGACGGTGGACGGGTTGTTAAAAGGCAAACTACATGAACAGAAAATGAAGTCGAGCGAGGAACCAGTAATTCTGACGGAAAAGAGGGCGTTGTTCCAGAAGGTAGGTGCCATTTCTGCAACTAAAATAAGCAAAAGGGAATGCCCGAACAATAAAAAAACTTACTTACGTCACTGTCTGATCCAATCTGATTAAAATCTGATGTAGTGTACGGGCTTTAATTATTTTGGGTATAAATTTATTTTAATTTTATTTTTTATTACTTTTGTTATTAATGCCTTTTTATTTTATTATTATTTTACTTTGATTTTGATTTTGTGTGTTTTTTTTTTAATTCCGCCCTACATACATGTGTAGGTAGGGCGGAATTAAAAAAA